AACACCAAATAGAGGCACTCTAGACCCGGTCTTGAGACAACAGGAAGCCCCGTGAGGGAGATGGAGGCTCGATAAATTAAATCAACCCCCCACCCCTCCGGGCATGGTCGGTGCTGGACCAGATACCCGGGTGGGCACAGTTGAGAGAGGGACACCCCCCCTCTCCCGCCCAGGTCTCTGTTATGCAAGCCAGGTCGGTCCCCTCATTCACAATTAAGTCGTGGATGAGGGATGTTTTGTTGTGGACTGACCTGGCATTAAGCAACAGCACAGTCAGGCCCAAAGGGCGGTTGATAAGCCTACCTGGAACCCTCCGGCTGGGGGAATAACCAGAAGGGGGACCAGGTGTCAACCATCTGTCCCTCCTTCTTCTATGCTGACACGTTAAACCCCCAATGCTATAACGACCATTGCCCAAGACCACCCCAATGGTAGTGCCCACGTGCTCCCCAGGTAACATCATGGCAGTAGCCAGGAGTGAATCCATTAAAAAATCAAGCTAAAATACAAATTGAAAATACAATAAAACCCTAAACCCACTAACCACCCAATACAAACTCCCCCAGCCAAAATCTATGGCCAGCCCAGCCCCTGAATGGCCCCGAACGGGCCCAAACGGTGCCGCCAGCCCCGGCCGCGTCCGGTGAGTTAAGCTGGCAGCCCCTCCCCACGCCCTGCCCCCAATCCGGTGCAGCTGCCACCCACGCCGGCGAGGGAGGGGGGCAAGGGCAGCTGCGGAGAAACTTGCTGGCAAGATGGCGATGGTGGGCCTGCAGTCTGGCCGCGGCGTCCCCCGGACCTTGGCTTTTCACATCAAGTCAATGGGTATTTCCAAAGAATGTTTCCAGCTGCCCGGGAAGTGGTGCTGAGATGGCTTCTTAACTAATCTTTACTGGACATTATAACACTGAAATTATTATTCCCATTGTCACCCAGTTGCAAACATCCCCTTCAGAAAGAAGCACCTGGAGCACTGACTGGTAGTGAAGCCACTTCTGAAGAAATCCGTGCCCGGCTGCCAGGATTTCTGGGATCAGGTGCTTGGGAAGGTGCTGGCAGTGCTAACCCTACACCAGGTCCTGTTGAGTGAAGCGCATTATTGAGTCCCACTTCAGTTCAGATGCAGGCTACAGCTCAGCACTGAAATGGTTCTGACCAACTTGATGGATGATGCCCATCCAGAAAGAGACCAGGAGAGTGCCAATGTGTTGATTCTCTTGGAATACCCTTGCAGGGGAGGCCTGCCAGGAATTAACAGGGAATGTTTGGATGGCATGCTGGCCTCCTTGGAAATTTTTGCCATGCACAGCATTCTTTAAAGTGCTAAGTCAAAACATTTCTACTTGCCAGGAAATGTATGGCATGGAACATGTGACATGTGTGTGAAATACGCATTAAAGGACAAGCACCACAGAGTCAGTTCTCTTACCCCGGTAAGCAAATATAGTTTCCATGGGGAAAACATTTCATATGTCCGGTTGCTCGTCATCAGGAAACAAGTCACTGCGCAATGTGTGACTTGACACAGAAGTTTCTCTGGCTGGTTGGACTGCTGAAGAGCAGCAAGGGCATTTTAAGTGCTGCATTTTCAATGGGTTGAAGTTACATCTTTCAATGTTGCATATGTTTCTGTGTCTTATAATATGCTTCACTGCATTGCAGAATCAACATTTTCCTCTGTGCTACCCTGAGATGAATTTTGTTTTGGGTGAAAGGGCCGTCTGCAACTTCTCCAAACAAACAAGCCAGCAAATTGGTGTTAGCATACGGCAGAGCAAACCACCAGTGCATTTGCCTGGGGTGACTAGGTTGGCTACCAAGCGGGAAAAAGAGCTGTTTCCTGCCATGATGTGGCAAGTTTTAAACCCCGTGGATGTGTAAAACCTGTGACAAAACTTTAGGATGCTTATTCATCAGCATGGTGACCATGATGCACCGTTGTCCTTACGACATAGATTTCAAGCTAGAGTTGACATCACATTTCCCTCTTTTACAGTAAAGCCATAATCTTCCGTGAACTTACATGGAAGTAAGTAGCACTGAAGACACTGGATGGGCTTGCCCATCATACTAAGCTACCCAAGTGAATAAGCTATGGTGAGCTGTTGCTCTCAGAGCAGCCCATGATACACAGAACAGACATTTGAACTTACCATGGGTTGTTCTCCTCTGTCCCCCTCAGTCCTCCGGCTGCTTCAGCGCATACCCGTGTCCTTCACAGAAGAACCCATTTATCTCCCCTCCCCTACTCTGATTGCAACCCCTTTTAGTTCACAACTGCTCTTTAAGAGCCCCAGAAATGCAGCTGTGTAATATTTCCCCCCAACACCTGAAAATAGTGCAGCTTTGCTCTTATTTATTTACCTGTTCTGTTGATCTTTTGTAAGGGCATCGGTGTTCACTTGTGGCTATGCAATATGTGCAGTCTCCTTTGTCCTTTTCCTTGCCTGTTTCCATGTCAAAGAAAATAGCAAAGTGGAGTAAATAAGCACACAGAGCTGCGTAAGCTGCTCTGCGCATAGTTGCCATGGACCAATTGCCCAGTTGTCAATGGAAACACTCTCCTAAAAGGGAAAAAGTGGCAAAAGTAGGTGCACTGAAGAAAGGCAATATCTCTCCCTTAACAACATGATTCTTTAACTTTCTGTGTCTTCCAATTTCTCAACACTTCTCTAAATGCCCAGCTCTTTCAAGAAGGGAAAATGCTCACCTACCTTTTTGATTCTTCTCAGAATATTTGCTGGCAAGCCAGTGATGGTTGCTCCAAAATGCCACTTAGGCATCAGCTGAGGGGCATTCACTGGTGGGACCATGGGCCAACTCATGAGTGGTGGCAGTGAGTTTTGTCACTCTTGCTGAGTGGCTTGCTAGACAATCCCCACAGCCCATGATTAAATTGGTCTCCTGGGTCTGGATCACACTGTACAACCCAGCAAGGTATAAACAACTCACAGGACAAGTCATGGTTTATCAGTGTGGCTTTTTCCTAAAAAAATAATCCACCCTATTATTACCCTAGTTACCCTCAATGGGTTGTTATGTGGTGTGAACCAGGTCAGTACATTTATTTCTGAGTTGGCTTCTGTAGGATTATATTGTAAAATTGCTGACAGCTTAGTCAACATCTCAGTCAAGCATGGAAGATGCTGAAATGAATAGACTGTCAAATTAATTCTAGCTATCTGTGATTTTAAGATCTTTGGAGACTTTAATTATTAGTTTGTCGGTTGATTATTTTGTGAATT